GGTTTCAGCTTCCATTTATTGTGCGAAGGCGGCGAAGAGAGCGCCGTGCGGAATCAGAGCGTCGTAGTCAGCAAACGGTACCTGCTAACGCCGACGAGGGTGTGAGCCAGCCTGCACACAGCAACTCCAGTTCAAACAGTCGTTCTGCTGCAACTGGGGTGGACAGCCGTGACTCATCGCAACAGGCAAGCAGTCGGTCCAGATCCAGATCTCGGTCCAGAAGTCGCTCCCAAGGCCAGCGAAAGGGAACTTCGTCTAAAGGCCGAGCCAAGTCCCGGTCCAGAGATCGTCGTCGGTCCCAATCCAGAGGCCCATCGCACTCGAGGAGCCAGTCCAGGGACCCGCATGGCACAGTCCGTTTCCAAAGCCCACCCCAACCGGAGATGCAGGGTGGCTCCTGGGCTGACCGGGTGCGCAGCGGAGGAGGTGAAAAGGTAACGGGAGGCACTGCGCCAGAGCATGGTCTAGCGGAGCTAAATCAGCTTAGGAAGGAGAATGCCGAAATGCGCAGCATTATTGAGTCGCTGAGAGCCGAAATGGCTGAGCTTAGACGTGTCAGTACATCTCAAGCTACTCTGGCATCTGCTTCTCCGTGTGTAGGTTCTCCCTCTCCTCAACCCATGGAGGTTCCCATGGTCGTGGAAGCGGGCCCCTCGGGTAACCCAGCCAAGCGTAAGGCTGCGACTTCAGCCGAGAATGTGCAGGCTAGAGCTAAATCTGAAATTAAGGAGACTCTAAATTCAATTTGCCTTGAGATTCACAAACTTAATGAGCGTTTCTCGGCGGTCGATCAACGTCTCACAGTTATGGATCAGAAAATAGATATTCAACATGCCAGAATTCAATGTGTGGAGAATCAATTACAGAACGCCGGCCTTATGGTGCAGAGCCCCAATATCAGGGGAGCAGCTCGGATTCACCCGGATTTCTTTCCAGAGGGAACGCCTTTATCGGCGCCCATTCCCATGAGTATCCCCAGTTCGAATAGTACAGTTGCTTCTGTACAGAACCTGACGGCAGGGTCAGGGAGCACCTCCAATGATCAAGATGGCCTCGCACGCTGAATTTCGTATATGGCAATGGAACTGCAGGGGGATCCTTAGCAAAAGGGGCACCCTGCAGCAATTTGTCCGCTCTCACAGCGAGAAGCCGCAAGTGATCCTACTGCAGGAGACGCTGTCTGATAGTGTAACCCTCCCGGGGTACAAGGCACATGCAGTTAAAGGGGAAGGCAGAGGGATTGCCACGTTAGTCAGCAACAAGTTCACCTTTGTGACACATGATCTAGGGGTAAGACCTAATAAAACGGAGCTCTCCTTAGTTGAGGTCATTCCGAGTTCTTCCAACCTTTCCAGCATTTTTATACTGAACATATATAGTAGCCCTAGTGATCATAGGCAGCGTTTTAGGACGATCATAGCTAAGGCAACCAGATTGGCTGGGCTCTCTCCTCTGGTTGTGGCGGGGGATTTTAACTCGCCTTTCCGGGCGTGGAACTACCCGTATGATTCAGCTAAAGGCAGGAGCTTGTGGCAGGAGACGGGAGATGCGGATCTCTCGTTAATTACGGACCCGATGTTTCCTACTAGGCGCGGCACATCCACCACCAGGGACTCCACCCCGGACCTAGCTTTCGTGAAAAATGCTGGCTCGGTAGGTTGGGAAAATCTTCTGACGGATTTAGGAAGTGATCATTATATTACAGTTACTAAATTACAGATGGAGGCAAAATCTAAAAGAAAGTTTACTTACGTGGATTGGGATAAATTTCGGGAGTCACGCAGCGCTCGAGCGGAACAGGGGGAAATCCCGGACTCTCTGGGGCAATGGACAGAGATGCTGCTGCAGGACGTTAGAGCGGTTACCAGAACCATTGAGACAGAGGTACAGACAAACAAAATGGACAGTCGGCTTGCGCATTTACTGGAGGCAAAGCAGTCGCTATTGGCCAGATGGAAGGGTCAGAGACTTAATCGTAGGCTTCGGAAAAAGATAGCAGAGTTAAATACACAAATTGAAGAACATTGCAAAAACTTGTCGAGGCAGCAGTGGGATGAAATTTGTAATTCAGTCGATGGACAAATGCGAACCAGAGGTAAATGGAATCTTTTAAAACACTTGCTTGACGAGTCGGGCACTAAATCTAATCAGAGGGGGGTCCTTGCTAGAATACTTCATCTTGCTCAAAAATCCTCCTCGGGCGCGGAGCTATTGGGGCAGCTTGCTGAGAAGTATCTACCGCTAGCAGTTGATTCCATGCAAGCCTATCCGGGGTATATGGGAACACCTTGTGCCCATTTGGATGAACCCTTCACCATCAGCGATGTGCGACGTGCCCTGCACGAACTTAATGGCCGATCGGCACCGGGTCCAGATAGGGTCACCAACAAAGCGCTTCGGAATTTGGAAGATGACTCTGTTGAATTTCTTACTGATGAGATTAATAGGATTTGGAAGGGAGGTGACATCCCGGAACAATGGAAGTTGGCCAAGGTGATCCTCATTCCCAAGCCCGGTAAAGCACCAAGTTTGGACAATCTGCGCCCCATCTCTCTCACGTCATGCGTGGGAAAGGTGGTGGAACACGTTGTCCAGAACCGAATCGCGGACTACATAGAGCACAATGATCTCTTCCCTCACTACCTTATTGGCTTTAGGCCAGGCCTCTGTACGCAGGATGCTATGAAAATCATTAAGTGTCAAATTTTAGATAATCATACCAGAGACACCAGGGCGATCCCAGGCTTGGATATAAAAAAAGCGTTTGATAATGTCCGCCATGATTCTATTTTAGATGCGATCTCAAGTCTCAACCTAGGTTCCTCATTTCATGCGTTTGTCAGATCCTTCCTGTGTGGTCGAAAAGCCATACTTAAAGTTGGAGATCTAGAATCGGATGTGCAAGCGCTGGGAAATAGGGGCACCCCGCAGGGATCTGTTCTATCACCCTTACTTTTTAACATCGTCATGGCTGGTCTCTCGAGGCAGCTTTCTGGAATTTCAGATGTTGGTCATACAATTTATGCCGATGATATCACCATTTGGTGTAGAGGAGGAAGTGATGGCACTGTAGAGGCGGCCCTGCAAGAGGCCATCGACACTACCGAGAGTTTTCTGGAAGACACAGGCCTTTCTTGCTCTCCGGAAAAGTCTGAGCTTCTCCTCTATAAACCGGTCAGGAGGGGCCGTCGACCGCGAGGCTGGGTGCCGCCCCTAGAAAATGACATCCACTTACGTACCAAAAGTGGACGATCAATCCCCAAAGTCGCTTCCATTCGGATCTTAGGTATGACGCTAGAAGCAACGGGCACCAACACCATCACGATTAAAAGGTTGGAAAAAAAGACAGACAGTGTTATTAGGCTCATAAGACGGGTGGCTAACCGAAGGACAGGACTATCAGAGGACAACTTGGTCAGGCTTATACATGCTTTTCTGCTGTGTCATTTTGCATATGTGGCGGCAATGCATGTCTGGAAGAGAATGGAAAGGGACAAGCTTAATGCAATGATCAGGAGAGCTGTAAAGAATGCCCTTGGGCTCCCCAACTACACCCACACCAATCGTCTCCTGCAGTTGGGAATTCATAATACATTGGAGGAAATTGCGGAAGCACAAGAAAGAACACAGGTAATTAGGCTGTCTGGCTCAAAAGCGGGGAGGATGATTCTCGCAGAAATGGGTATTCCACCAGCTCAGATTGAGGCTCTGTACCAAGGGTTGACGAGGGATCAGAAGGAAAACATCATTGTCTCGCCTGCCCCGCGGAACATGCATCCCCAACGTAATGTTGGAAGGAGGAGAGCGCGCGCTCGGGCCCTTCTTCGCCAAGTTGCGGATCTTGACGGGGGGGCCTGTTTCGTAGACGCGGCGCAATATGATGGCCAGAGAGACCGATTCACGGTAGTGGCAATCAACCACAAAGGCATTACAATTAATGCGGCGTCGGTATGCGCCAGAACTGCCAATGCAGCTGAGCAGGTTGCCATCGCCTTGGCTCTTTTAGATCAGCGTAATGAACACATATTTAGCGATTCTAGAGCTGCCATTCGTGCCTTCAGTGTTGGAGCTGTGTGCAAAGAGGCCAAAAATATACTCGGTGATAAGTTGCTTACAACCCATACCATTACATGGTTCCCAGCTCATATGGGAAACATGGACGGAGGGATCATAAATCTCAATGAGTTGGCCCACTCCAGGGCGCGAGGGTTAGCTGTCCGCGGCCATGGAGGACCTTTGGGTCGAACTGGAGATTTCGTAAACAGGGATCCGCCAACTACATATAATGAAATAACCCAACATTTCGCTATGGATAGGAGAATCTTTCCACCTCCACATGCGAAGCTAAATAGAGCGCAGGCGCTTACATTGCGATTACTTCAAACAGAAACGTACCCTAACCCTGCCTTTCTTCACAAGCTTTATCCTGATGTTTATTTAACCAACTCGTGTACAAAATGTGGCGGTTTAGCCACCTTACACCACATGCTCTGGGAGTGCCCTTCGGTACGTGGCACCGATACAGCATCGTCCAGAAAGTGGGACTCCGCTCTCCGGAGTCCAGACATAACATCGCAACTTTGGGCTGTCCAGAGGGCCCACGATGCGGCGCTGGGGCTCGGCCTTACTGTCCCATCGTGGGAGCGGCCCGCCGTGTGCTAGGGCGCACGCCTTCGGACTTGTCAATAAAGTTTTTCCAAACCAAACCAAACCACGTCCAGGATTGAACCCGTGTTCTTAAGTCAGCAGCGGGACGCCGCAATCACCGAGTCATTACCATGAAAACATATTGTTCATGGTGCATGCAAAAAATATGGTGGGCATAACACTAAAACATTCCAAGTGTGCAACAACATACATCTCTCAGTATATATATATATATATATATATATATATATATATATATATATATATATATATATATATATATATATATATATATATATATATGTGTGTGTGTGTGTGTGTGTGTGCAGTCGCTTACATAGGGCAACGAGTTCCTGCTTTTTTTTATTTCGGCACTTTTTTCATAGATACACGAGACATTTCCACGCCGTAGGCAGTTGTTTTATTTCTTTATTTTTCAGAGAACTTCGCTCTGTTTTACAAGACATCGTAAGTAAAACACACGATAATAAAAACGATGAAACGTATTTCTAAGCTGGCGCTGCGTCATTGAAGTGTTACGGGCCAATCATCGGAAAGACTGGTTAAGAGGGCGAAATATTTTCCGTAGCAGTCTTAAATTGGCATGACATACGTAAACATAGTAGTGAAACTTTCATGGTTGCTGCTGGAATCGAATAAAACTTGCGCATTCATCGGGGATAAAAATATTTGAGGCTTCAGCGATTTCCCATTTCCTAACTGTGAAAAAGCGTTACATCTCCAGGAACTTGTCAAGTTGATATGGTCGTTGCCAGCAGGGCTCTTCCTGAATTGTCTCCTGAAAGTAAAAAAAAATAGAAACGCATAAAATTTTGAGTGTGAGACGCACCATGATACCAGCGATACTGGTTTAGCCACGTTAACAGTCTGTCTTCGGATAACTGGACTGCATGCCACATATATGGTGTTTCGCGAAGCTATGGTCATTCGCGGTCGCAGAACAACAAGACGTAGCGTAATCTTAATGCATTGTCGCCATGTAAAGTAGCCGTTGGAGGCTTAAAGTCACACGCAAATACTGAACTTAATAGATGGAAGTTGTAAAAAAAATCACAGAAGTGATGCGAACGACATCCCAAACTTAGAAGAATAAATGCTTTTGTACTAACAGAGAAGTGAAGAGATACGCCAAATGAATCAGGCATGGCATATCGACAACATACAGTAACGCATGCAGGAGCGAACTTTCGATTAACTTTCTAAGTAAAGAATGAGGAACCTAAACAAATATGCCTCTTAGACCACCAAATCACCCGTATGCCGGATTGATAGGTTCGCCTTTTTCATGCGCATGCGTAGATAGTTTTTGCATCTGATTTCTTTTACGCTCTCGAATGTCAACCTCTGTGGTGTGTCGACATTTTGTGTTTTTATTTTCGTGTTTCGACGCCCTAATTTTTAGAATCGTATGCCTAGAACGTAGAAGCGCCCAATATATACGTCTACATGACTGTAAAGCTATGCAGTACTGTCCCGCAAGGACACTTGGAAGCAAGGTCTCCAGACAAGCCACTATGTGGTTTCTTTTTTATATAGAGTGGGTAACGAGTGACATAAGAATGCAATAATTGTTAGGGTTACACATTCCAAAGCCGCGATACGATTATGAGGGAATGCCGTACCGAAGGGCTCCGCAAAATTCGCCAGGTGAGATCCTTCAGGAACCCGACGACAACGTGAAGGTCACCTGAATGCACGTGAAGGTCACCTGAAGGCACGGGCCTCGAGACTTCCGTCTCCATTGAAATGTATATCCGCCGCGACCGAGATTCGATCCCGATACCTTCGGGTTAAAGATCAAGCGCCATTACCATTACACCAACGCGATAGGTAGATTGAAGTAAAGAAGCAGGCTTACCCTTACACGACCATATTCCGCGTTGTCGTAGTCTTGCCGTTCAGACGTTGTCAGTGGATATAAACTTTTTGCTTGCCGCCCGGGAGGGTCTGTTGCTAGTCATCGTAGTCGTTACCAACATGAACGTCCAAACTTCCACTATCACTTTCAGTGTCTGCTTCAACGCAGTGAATTCGGTTGAGCGTCTCGTCGATCCCGGCGTAGGAGCCGATGTACATATCGTCGGACTTACACTTGAGAATTTTCTCGAGAATAAGCTCGATTCGCGTTGCACTAGTTCCGCCGGGCAAACATGTGGCCAGATACGGCAGGTCCTGCCAGGCGCACATGCCCACGACGACGTGCGCATCCTTCGGGTCCGACTCTGGCTCGGCGGTGATTACGCACGCGAAGCGGCTTCTCCCGAGACTCATGGGCACGAACGCGAGGTCCACATTCGGGTTTGACAGCTTAGTCGCTACGCACGTTTGCAGCGTGAAGTCCTCGACGGGCGGCGTGTTCTTGTCGAGGATGAAGAGCGCCCACTCGAGGCTCTGGTCGCGCGGAAAGAGCCAGCAGTAGGCCGCAGCCAACTGGCGAATCCGCTCTTGATGCGGCTCGCACGATTCCAGGGTGGCGCAAATTCGGTTGCAGGCCTCGTCTCGATCCGCGGCGTCCCGGAGTCGCAGACCGGGTATCACGTTGTCGTCCTCGAGGCTGCGCAATTGGTTCATGGACAACTGGTACATGTGAGAACACAGCACGTCGATGTCCAGTTCACTCATGGCCGGCTGAGAACGGGGTCCTCTCTCAGTAAGTCACAAGATAGGGTGGCTAGACGGTGGCTGAAATGTTCTGCTACAGGGCAGGGCTGTAAGTGTTCTTTGGTAGCGCAGGTCTTGGCTGGTCGCTCGCTGTCCTGTGCTCTTTTTTGTGGGTCTTAGACAGGGAGCTGGTGGAATTTTTCTGGAGAGTCGGCCAACAAAGATGCGATGGTGGAACTGAGGTGGCGAAAGCGACAGGAAGCTGGTTTCGCGTCCGAGCCAGGCTGTCACAGACCGGTAGGTAAACGTAAGCTGCGTCGCCTGCTGGGCAAGCTACGCGTGTCGTCACTATTGGGTTCCAAATCGAAAAAGATTGCGTCGGTGCTGTTTTCCGATAATGCACTCCCTCCCCCTCCCCCCCGAAAAAAGATTTACAAAGTGACCCAAACATTTACATGCACCCTTGAATCACGTGAAATGGAACATCTGATTTTACAAAAAAATAATCATAATTTTGCCACAAGGGCCAAGCAATGAACGCGATAGCAACAATTTGGAATGTCACGCGAAGAACGGTCACCAGATCTAAACGTGCAGCGCGTTTCTCAAGTCAAAAGAACACACAAAAAGAACACACACAGAACGAGCGCGAGCTAACAGCGTCCACAGTTCCCTCACTCAACGCGCTGCTCAAAGTGAAAGGACGCATGAGACGCAGGTATACGCAGGATGAGTCTGAACTATAGTTATAATTCGTGACATACATCAGGTGCAACGCTGTGACCGGCAAGATGTGTGATTGCGCGCGTCTCGTGCTTGCCTTCCGCCGTAAACGCTCGTGCTATAGCCAAGCGTGGGCTCGCCCATGACGCATCGAGACGTGCTAGGAATAGCGCACGAAGGAGTCAAGACAGAGACGCCAGCAGGTTCAGAATGACTTATTTGTGAATGCATTATTTAGTTATGTGTATCGGACACAAAGCGTCTTAAATGTTTTCGATCATTCCAGCGACTATAGGCGGCGCGACAGTAGGTCGAAAATGGCGGACGAGACGGTGCTGAGGTGCGCGTCTCAGGCCAAAAAGCTTGTCAGGTCCTTTACTTTCGCTGCAGACCACACTTTCTCTCGCTAAAGAGACGCATAGGTGTTTAAATGAAAACGATTCAGTGCTTATCAATAGCGCGTGACCAAACTAGAAGTTATCACCGTGTACCAGGTTCGGAGGAAAGCCGCGTGACGCCGCTTGCATCGCTGGAATGACCGAATACATTGGACTAAATAGGATGAGAAACCATCTTAAGGGCACCAAATTAGCTGGACTATTGCTTGGTGCTAGCACATTTATAGGTATGAAATGGAGTGTAGTGTCACAGTTGTTACTGCTTCGATATATAACGCATATTGCGCGCAGCCATCACTTTCTACTCGCGTGCCATATCGGACAACTTCGCGTAGAAGTTCATCTGCAGCAGCTCCACCCCTGTAGCTTTTCCTTCATTGTCAAGAAAAGTTGTGCGCGAAACGATGGTCCATATCGCACTAATCCTGCCATCTCAATGCAGTAATGGCAAGTGTACTTCGTTGTTGAAGTGTCGACGTATTCTACGTAATCTAGATAAGCGCACCCCCAGGATATCGTCAGCGGAAGCTCAGTTGCTGTGCTCCTTATGGTGTGGAAACGAGATGCAATGCAACTTCCTGTGGTCGATCATTCGCTGAAGGGTCACCCGACCATAGAAACAACGTCACGTATGACGTCACTTGTGGAGTGGCATGTCGCTTTAGAGTCTGTTTCTGGAAGCAGTGATGCTGTGAGATTGAGAACTAAGAACCCTTCATGTCGGTCGCTCCAGTTAAATAGAAAGAGAAACATTGGCCTGTATTTTGATGCATAAATTAGTGGCGAGCGCCTTACGATCGAAGCGCGACAAGCTGAAGTGGGGAAGTCATTGAAAAAATAAGTCTCGATGAAGATATTTCTCGAGTATTCCTAATGTTGTGTGTGGCAGACTTCCTTAGAAATTCAGGTGGCTGGAACATTGGTGTTTTCCTAACTAGTTCACTACGTGATTTTTTTTCTGTTTTGTTTTACGCCATAAGTTTTACGCGGCTAGTCTGTTAACGTAGGCTCGTGTTTAGTTTGGCACATTACTGCGTCATAATGACATCTCTCATATTAGCGCAGTGTTTCGCGCCTACCATACATAATAATAATTGCTTGGTCTAACGTTCCAGAGCCACGATATCACGTGAGACGCCGTAGTGGAGAGCTCCTGAAATTTCCACCGCGTCGGTTTTTTTAACGTGCACCTAAATCTAAGCACATAGGTTTCTAGCAATCTCTCCTCCACTGAAAATGCGGCCGCCATGGTCGGGATTTCACCCCACGGCCTGCTTGTCCGCCCTCGAGGCTCAGAACTACAAGCCAACCGTGGTGCGGCCTCGCGTATTGTACGCTCGCTGTTTCTTTGCACACGTGTATACGTGAACTGACGATTCACTGAAGCTAAACCTGCCCAAAGGGCCGCCGTAGAGAACCTATGCTGCGACTGCTTTTCAGCGGCATATCCAATAAGAATTCTTTTCTTTTCACCCCTTCCCCCAGTGCAGGGTAGCAAACCGGACGTGCGTCTGGTTGACCTCCCTGCCTTTCATTTCTTTCCTTCCTCCTCCTTTTCGTATACTTGACATTCGGCGTCACTCCTCCCTTGTAGCATACGTAGTAAATGAAACTTAATTGAAGAAACAAAGGCAAACCAATACATCTGTACAAGTGACACAGGCAATCAAAGTGCACCGTCTACAGCTGGGATTCCAACCCGGGCATCTATAATGCGAAGTGGGCACTTATCGTTGCTCTACTTTTGCGGAGCCACGCGACACACTGCAGACTATCGACCACAGCGCCACACACGGATTGACCTTGTTTGGGCTTCAGTTTTCGACGACCGTTCCGGGCACTCCCCTGTTCTGGTGCACTCTACTTTGAATCAACTTGTGCCCGGCCGCGGGCAATTTGATGGAGGCGAGAATTTAGAGGTCTATGTGCTGTGCGATGTCAGTGCAAGCTAAAGAACACCAGGTGGTCGAAATTTCCGGAGCCCTTACACCACGGCGTCTCTCATAATCATATGTGTATCATTATTATTACCTGCGCCCGGCAAATGAAAGGATAACACACAAGCAATTCGCGCTGCAAAGAATAGCGGCGGGGGTCTGTCGTCGGAAGTCGAGTAATTTTATCTATATTGAGGCGCATCGGCATTTACGCAAGCTGCGTACAAAGTAGAAAATCAAGTCACTCAACTTGGGTAGAATCGCAGCATGTAACTGCGACAATTTTATTTCGTTGATACGAAAAAAAAACACTTGCACCCCAATGGCAATTGCCTTTATTTTGTTCTTACAGAACTTCGCTCTATTTGATAACGCAACGTAGGTAAAGCACATAAAAAAACAATGAAAACTTTCTCCGCTAGCGCTACGCCATCGCAGTGACATGTAGCCAATCGTCTAAAAGATTGGTTTGGAGGGACAAATCTTTTCCGTAGGTCTTTACCATCGGTATGCGATATGCCTACAAGTGTCACTTTCAGGTGTTTATGCTAACTGGTCGAATAAATTGACATGTAATAGGAAACTGAAAACAAGATTTCAAGTTTGAGTGGAAGAAGATGCCGATATAACCCCCATGTGAAAAATCTCAATATTTATCACGAACTTCTCAAGTTGATATGCTCGTCGCCAACCGAGCTCTTCTTGTGGTAGTTATCACCTGGAATTAAAGAAAGAATTCCGTGAAATTTCAGCTCTGATAGGCACCGCAATAAGAGCACTACCGATTCGGCCGCGATAATAGTCCGTCTTCGGACAACCAAACTGCGAAATATGGTGTTCTGCGGAGCTATGGTCATTTGTGGTCACAGAAGCCCTAACCATGGAGTAACGTGAATGCAGTGTACAGGTAGCCGTTACAAACGCCTAAAGCTGCGCGTAATAAGAGAGCGTAAGACACAGAAACAAAATCAAGAAAATGATCGTAATGCTCTCCCAAACTTGGACGAATGCGTATTTTTGTACTGCCACAAATATGAATAAATACACCCGATGGTTCAATCGTGGCCTGTCGATAACAATGGGATAGTATGCGTGAGCGTATACCTTCGATTAACGCACATCAAGAAAAAATATAAGTTCTTCACCTGTCGTTCTTGTCCACCCCTACGTGTACCAGACTGGTAGGTTCGCTTTTTACTGGCTCTGTGCTTTCTAATAGACCAGAAAGCGAGTGACATAAAGATAATATTCCTGGGGTTGGACGTCCCGAATCGACCATATAAGGGACGCCGTACAGGAGGGCTCCGCAAGATTAGACCACGTGGGGGTTCGTAAAGTTTACCTGACTATAAGCACATGGGCGTCGAATCTAAATGAAGCTGCCATGGCCGTGTTTCGATTCCGCGGCCCTGGGGTAAGCAATTAAGCACCATAGCGACTAGACCAACGTTGATCTAAGAAAGAAGCATGGCATACCATCACATGGCCACATTGCACGTTGCCATTGTCTTGCCCTTGAGACGTCGTCAGTCCGTATGAAGTTTTAGCTTGGCGCCCACGGGGTCTGTTGCTAGTCATCGTATTAAAAATCAGTATTAAATCTCCATATTTGCGGCATCACTTGCAGGTTGCATTCGGTGAATGTTGACTTGAGCTAGCGTCTCGTCGATGCCAGCGTAGCTGCCGATGAATCTATCGTGGAACTTGCACTTAAGGACGCCCTCTAGAAGAGGTTTGACTCGTGTCAAGCAATTCTTGCCGGGGAAAGATATCGCCAAATAGGGCAAGCCCTGCCAGGCAAACATGCCCACGACAATTTGCGTGCCCTGCGGCTTGCACTGCTGTTCGGCGGTGATTGCGCACGCGTAGCGCGCTCCACCGCTGGACAGGGTCACGTACCCGATGTCCACTCCCGGGAACGTCAGCGCAGTCGCTATCCGCGTTTGCAGGTCGAAGTCGTCGACGGGCGGTAGGCTCTCATCCAGCGCGAAGAGCCCCCACTCGAGCCTCTGATTGTGCGGAAAGAGCCAGCAGTAGGCCGAGGCCATCTGGCGAAGTCGCACGTGGTGCGGCTCGCACGATTCCAAGGCGGCACGAGCTTTGGCTAAGGCCTCGTCTAGATCCAGCACTTCTGTGAGTCGCAGACACGATATCGCATTGTCGTCATCGAGGCTGCACACTTGGTCCACGGACACCTGGTTCATGTGAGAACACAGCATGTCGATCTCCTCTTCTGCCATGACCGGGTGAGAATGGGAGCCTCTCTTGTAATGTTAGTGGATTTGGGGAGGTGGTCGCTGTGCAATGTAGCAGGATGGGTCTTGAAAGTTCTGGTTAGTGGCGTAGATGTCGGTCTTGAAAGTTCTGGTTAGTGGCGTGGATGTCGATGCGTTTTGTGTCGCCCGCTGGAAACGAACAAGCGTCCGCGCTTCTTGTGGGTCTTTACAGGGATAGCTGTATGAATTTCCCGAAAGTGTATGGCCTGCCAGCGTGGACGCGATCTTGGATATGCATCGGCAAGAGCGAATAAGAACAGACTTTGTAGCTGAATCTGTCCTTAACAGACCCGAATGTGAACATAACATGCGACATCTGGTGGGCTACGCGTTTCTTCACCATATTGGATTGGACGTGACAAAAGATAGCGTTGGCGTCTTTTGCCTGTAATGCAACGAGGAAAAATTAGAAAGTGATATCCACGTTCATGTGCATCCTTAAATGACCTGGAATAGGCTATCTGGTAATAAAAAGTAAATGCTATGGCGCATGCGCTGTTTAAAATCCAGTACGTGCGACTATCGTTCGTCACTGCACCGTTTACGTCAACAAACACTTAATAATGTGGGATTTGCTTTGAAATAGAATGACCGTTTTAGAATCACGTACCTAGAGGCTATGCTTACGCATTCGCCTTGGTTTTTCCTCAGTGCGAACGTCGCACGCTAGCCAAGTTTTGGGTTAGCATTCCTGCCCCAGCATTTTCGGCACGTGTCCCTTGTGCTTATCAAGTGATGATGGAGTGTAATTCTCTTATGTTTGGAACTTAACCGGGCTTGCGGACACAGTGGGCGGTGGCGAAAATACTGCCCGCCGCTGTACACCGCCCGCTGTTCCGATGGACTTCATTACAGTGCGCGCGCAATACCAGTGAGGCGTGCCAGCCACCCTGGCTATGTGAGAAGCAGTCTGAACAAGCGGCCTTGCGGTTTCAGGGATGACCAACTCTAATTTCAGCGCGACAATGGAGACGCCCTTACGTTCCTTTAGTATGCGTGTCCCAGATGCGAGGAGCGCGCCACGGTAAATAAAATATGTATGTATTACTAAAGCAGGAATATTCGAGGCTTGTGCTGTGAACAAGCGTATGCTTGAAATATGAAAGACAGCTCCACTCCTCTGCAATCTTTGTAAACAGCTGTGATGGCCAGCAACTGCCACTACCTGGTGAGCGCGTTCTTTCTTCACTGTCAGAGACGACATGAAAAGTAGATTAACGGAAGGCCAGAAATTAAATGAAGGGAATGCAAGCGGAGCAAATAGATGATGACAAAAAAGCAAGAAGTGTGTGTGGATATGCCATATAAGAGGGCTTGCGCACCCATGTTTTGCCAATGCGTTAATTTTTAAAACATCCGTAGCTAAGCGTAGAATACTCACAAGTAAGACAATGGCATCTTTAAAAGAAAGTACTGCCCGTTTTATGGCCGATACCTTGTGGTGGGTTGCACCAGGACTTTAAGAAACAACCAACCAATTAGAGAACAGAGGCCAGTGCTGTGGAGAAGACGGCCGGTAGCCCAGACATGCTGGTTCTTGCTCAAGTCCTATAGAGCTTGGAGGCCCACCTGAGTTTCAGTCTCGGTGAGCTGCCATCTTCGTGCTCTGGTGGTCCTGCCGGCCGGCGGTGCATCGAGCTGCTGGGACAGGTCAGCGAGTTCGCCACCGACCTTGAACGCATTTGGTCTTGCGGCCGCCCGCCTGCTCCGCCAACTGCTCACGCCGTGTAAGAGTGTGCTGGGCGTGCCAGGAGTGTACGCACGCACGAGTCTCATGCAGGCAGAGGCAAACTACGACATATCACTTAATTTCGTTTGCGAAACACCTTGCATCAGCGGAAATGGCAGAACGAGGGACGCGGCTAACGAGGTTCTCACGTTAGCACGTCCAATGACACTGTAAGCGGCCTTCACATAGACGGTAACGTAGACGGTCATGAGCCGCGTGTAGGACCGAGAAGTTGCAGAACCTTTTGAGCATTGTGGAGTCCTATGTATGCCTATTCCTATGTGTGCTTATTTGTGTTTGTTGGTGTAATGAAGTTTGTGTTTGTGTCACACCTTGTCTCCTTTTTGAGTTCATTCTACTGAATCAAACAAAACGCGCCGAGTGCTCAAGCACTTAGACATCGACTTAACCGTACGCGCAAGACAACCTGTGTGTATTACCTTTATCTCTTTAACGTACATCATTCTCAAACGTATCATCATTATACTCTCCTGTTGTAGACGTCGGATTTGAATGAAGCAACGCCGTCACGGACGAACCTGCAAATGACCTACCGAAACAAGCATTCTTAATTTAGGTGGAAGACAGACAGTGCCATCTCGCCCAGTTAAATTCAAGAGATTTCTCACGTAAAGCGCCTGCAAAAAATATAAATTCAATGTGCGGTTGGTTGGAGAGTACAGTGCAAGCAGTCAGGTACTCTGTTGTATAGGCATACTGACGGGCGAATCAGTACACTTTCGAAGTTGAGGAGTGCCTTCTAGGAGAGACGAACGGAAGCACGAACAAATGGATGGAAGCATGGACAGACTGACGGTATATGTATGGACGCACGTATAGACAGGTGAACGAATGGACGCATGGACAGCTGGACGGACGGATGACGCTTCGTCCAAATCATAATCATTTACTTCGTGGATATGCTGTGAAAACCACTAACGCCATCTAGTTATATTACTCCCAAGGACATATACACACAACACGCCATCTATTGAACAACTCATAAACTACAGGTGGCTACATACTACTAATACTACTACTACTACTACTACTACTACTACTACTACTACTACTACTACTACTACTACTACTACTACTACAGAGGAAGGAACGACCCACGAGCTAAGAAGCTTCGCCTTTAAATGTAATTGATGACGATGGGGAGGTACGAAGGCAGGCGAGTGTGCACACTACTGGCAAGATGCGCAGTGCGACAGACTCACACCCAGTACAGTGGTTTCTAGAAAAGCTGTGACCGCAATTACGGTCATTCTTGCACGTCGGGGAAGGAATCTTGTTAGCATGTATAGCCGATAGTTTTAAAAAAAGCAAAACAACAACCAGGTGTCACAGAGTGCTAATTGCTAAACCAGTAGGTCGTTGAACGCTTCCGATCCATTACAAAGGGCTCAGCCATGGTTTTTCATCATCATCACCCAATGCATAAAAACAGTGTCCATAAAAACTTACAGGTGTTTTGCGGGTACCATACGTCTCTGTAGAACGAATAATGGCGTGGGAGGTGCTACCGCACTTCTCGAAAGTTACGCTTTACGGACAAGTGATTGCCGTGCAAGTGTAGGCGTGTTACCTCACCCAAGAGTGCTTTGAAAAGGTTCTAGAAAGGTCGCACTTGCCGTTTTCGCTGTAAGAGGGCGGCGCATTCTGCGCAGGCCTTGGGCTGTTGGTCTTTAGGCTGTCGGTCGTTCCCTCCTCGGTAGTAGTAGCAGTAATAGTACGTAGTCACCCCTAGTTTATGAATTGCTCAATAGATGGCGCTGTGTGTATATGTCCCCTGAAAGAATGTCACGAGATGGCGTTAGGAGTTTTCGTATAGTTCACGGATGGACAGACGAGCATACTGACAGATGGACGGATGCTTTTGACCCTCATCATCTTTCACCTCGTGAATATGCTGTGAATTTTTCCCTTTCTTTATAATTTCGCAGAGCCGCTCTATTGAATTCTCTACATTCTAGACATAAAGATGACGTGCATCTTGTGGTATGCCATCCTGCCCCTACCGGGCAAGTGTGTAGATGACTATGCCAGCAGGCCTTTCGCACTTTATTTTATGATAGCTTGAATGTTGGGAAAATATTCTTTCTCACTGTTCGAAACACTGCTACATCAAGTTACTAATATGGGAAATCAATTTAATTGATAGTGCACAAGTTCCCCTCCCCGAAACCGGGCTTAATTTTTTTTTAGCACCAGTTCCAGCTCCAGCCAAAGTTCCGTCCCGCTGACCGAGACCAAAGGTAGAGAAAGCGCAGCTCTTTCACGCAGTAAAGCAGGCGCGTGTGCAACAATGAGGATCCCATTGTTTTAAATTTGTTACTTGTTTTCGATTTTGGCTACTATTGAGAAGGTCGTTGTAGGCCCGTGTGCTCAGATTTGGGTGCACGTTAAAGAACCCCAGGTGGTCGAAATTTCCGGAGCCCTCCACTACGGCGTCTCTCATAATCATTTAGTGGTTTTGGGACGTTAAACCACACATATCAATCAATCATTATTGAGAAGGTCGATCTGAAGCAATCACTGACAGTGATTTCTGTTTACTCACAGTGCTTCTGGTAGTATGTTTAACAATTTTTCATGTTTTTTTTTAAATTTTGTCGGTGTATTTTATTGGTTAATATGCGTCGTGGCTTCACTGTCCGCCAAATGCAGTGATTCAGCGCCTCGATGCTTTGGCTGATTCGCAAGAATAGTTCGCGTGTGTGTGACACGACGCATTATACTGGGTGTCCCAGGAAACTTTAGCCAGAGTTTAAAAATATGGCGGCACACGCGATTACTACGCGACCAAATGCATTTCGCTCACCTTTACCTGGAGTTAGACTATTTTTTGTGTTCTCAAATGTTGCTTAATCAGATTTGTTTAATGAACTAACTTTTGAAAAAATGAACATGAATAAAATATGTCATTGAGAAAGTTGTCGATCGGTTTTCGAAACGTCCGGTTAGACAGTTTTGAACTTTATATCTGTTAGGTATTAGTGTTTTTCTACCAATTACAAATGCCCGCGACATACGAAAACTACCAAGTGACAAACCCGCTTGTGTGCCAGTGCGCACAATGATTCTAGTGCCCCTAACGTTCTGCGTACGAACGACCATAGCATTTGCCCCATTGCACTGTCTTGGCAGAGCCGCAACGATGGTGATGGCTTTAAGATGAACACGTTTTGCTATCGGCCACAAAAGCAATAACCGCTGTGACTGCTTATCGCTGTCATGAACCGATGCAAGGGAAGCGTGTCGTTCGTACGCGAAATGCTAGAATCATCGTGCGCACTGACGTGTGAGCGGGTTTGTCACGTGGTATTTTTTGTACTTTATGGGTATTTGTAATTACCAGAAAAATACTAATACTTAAGAGATACAAAGTTCAAAACTATCTATTAGGGCATTTCGCAAACCAATCTACAACTTTCTCATTGAAATTTTTATCCATCTTCGTTCCTTCAAAAGGTAGGTTACTAAACAGATCTAATTAAAGAATATTTGAGAACGCAAAAAATAATACAAGTCCAGGCAACGGTGAGCAACATGCATTTGGTCGTTTCATGATTACGTGTGCCGGCATATTTTCAACTCTGGCTAAAGTTGCGTGGAACACCCTGTATATCGCATCTTGCTTCAGTATGCGCAGCGTTGTGCAGATGATTGACGAGCTATACGCATGCCTGGAGGTGAAGGGTCAGCAATATTGTGCATCCATTTACCTCACAGCCTGTCTCTAATCGCCGTTATTCACCGTAGGTGCGGAGGAGACACAAATAAACCACAGAGCACTTATAGAAGTTCCTTTATTCATGCGATAGGCATGAAGTTCTGGCGTTGTACGTGCGACAAATGACATGTTTGTTTAGATACCAGAGGCGGAAGCTCTACTCTGGTCATCTGCCTCACAATAATGATTGGACATGCGTAGACATTTTCTGCCGCCTTGTCGATGCCTCGTCAAAGGTGCAGGTGGCCCGCTGCGCAGATGAGTGCGGATGCTGAGCAGCGGTAACAAAGTGGTGATGAATTCAAGTCCATTTCCTGGCGGCACTCCTCCCCCCCCCCCCCCCAAAGGGGGTGGGGACCTAATAAGGGGCCTGACAAGCAAAAATCTATCCAGCTAAAAGAAAACTGCAAGTTTAAATTGAAAATGAAACAATAAAAATTGTAGTATAGCATGAATCGCACTGCTACTTGTCAAGAGCTTTCCTAGCTGCAATATACGATGAATTGGTGGGGAAGCGGTGGATCCGGTGAAATGGTTGTCGCATGCAGGTTCATGAGCAATGAAACTCCGTCGATTGACATCGTCTTGATGCTGAAAGGAAGACGGCAGATGTAAGAAGCAACGTAAGAAGCATGCAGACGTAAGTTTTACAAGCGGAATATTTCTGCACGATGAACAACGAAACCAACTGGTTATGGTCTCAAGCCGTTATGAAGCCAAGCGCAGTGCTACAAGCCATCAACGTGAAAGCAATGAGCAGCGATGAATTGAGGGACGCAAAGAAAGACATGTTCATGAGCATCCTTACGTGTACCGTAGCTGATGGCAGTAATGAATTATTGTGTACAGCCACGTAATGAAAATTTTCCCCCAAACAGAGCACTGAAAAAAAAAACTTGTTTTAAGTGAGCACATTCATTCAAACATAAGTGAATGCATCATTAAAAAAGAAAAAGCGTCCCATATCTGCTGCACAGCAATCCTACATTTAAATTCAAGATTTCTTCGTCAACGGCATATAATTAACCGTCTAAACAAAAAAGTAAACATGTAGCCCAATCTACGTAGTTCCTATGCAATGAAGCAGACCCGTTCGTTATGTTGGCCAATGAGGTAATGTGGTGAAGGGTACTCAAGGCAGAGCAACCACGCGACATTTAAAATGGAAAGTACAATACCTTACGGTAAAAATCGCTGACTAAAATATAGATTAGCGTAGCCACGTTGACCACAGACGGCATGCGCAGGCACTCGCAACAGCATCACTGGAAGAACTGGCGGGCAGCAACATACGCAGAGCTCAGGCTTTGATAAACGCCGCAACGGAAGGATTCGGGTTGCGAGCCCAACACCTGTGCGAGGGCGTTTTTGAGCAACGTCGACTGTCCCTCTGGCGCTTCGTATATCGCTATGCAAGGCTGCGAATGCCAGATGACGAAGAAGTACGGCTTGTAGTCCCGGCTTCGCTCTTCGGTCGGGACAATGACGCAGCTGCAGCAGACGCTAACCGTTGTCTTGACGTACGTGCCGAAGACGCGCCTGTGCCACATCTTTTTCATGATGCCGGTGACGATGTCACGCTGGTTCCTCATTCGTTCGACGTGATAGAGCGCCCAGGGTTGGACCGCGTTCATGACGGCGAGGCAGCTGAAGATCTGGGCTGCCCTTTCCAGACGATCGCGCAGATCGTTGATAGATTGCAGATAAGCACGGACGGCACTGACCGCCTCCGAGACCGGTTTCTCGGCGAGCTTTGGAAGGTTGGGGAAGTGCTCCTGGTCGAGGTATCCCAGTTCGTGTTGCGGCACCGTCGAAAGCTGCGAGCACAGCAAATCCAAGTACGCCATTGTTGTCCGTTGCCTTAAATGCGCCTATGGAAGCTTGGTGCCGAGGGAAATGTTGGCTTACGGCAGAAGGGAACTTTTTCTCTCCTCGGTATGGTGGCCCAAGCCTCAGTCGGGTTCCAGTTGCGCAGCGTATATGTGACCTTGAAGGTTGAAATGGTGTGGCTGCCGTCCACGTTCCACTTGTAAGCTGTCGGGGCTGAGGTTCAACAGCTTTCAGGCAGGCGACGCCGTCTAAAGATGCCTTTCTTTTTCAGACGTGCGGAGACACTCGTTCGCTCGAGTGTTACGGCGGCACTGCCATGTGCTGCCTCACCGCGAGGCCTTAAATGTACTTGCTTTCACAGCAGCTGGTCACGTGTTTGTTCATGAATCTAGCTTAAAGAAGCGTCATTCTGATACCAAAATTGACAAGCAGACACGTGGTCTTGATATGTTGTGCATGAGGCGTTCATACAGCCTTTACCTTTCTCATATTTGTTTTTTTTTTGTCGTTGCAATAGCTACTGTTTTATACGTTGGAAATGCCTACATTGCTTTATTACCAATCAGTTTCGTTAGCATTGTGTGAATTCGGGTGAGTGCCAGTTAAGACTTCCACCATCCCATTCTGCATTATAATTTCCACGAAATGTTCGACTTAGAGCGGACGGACCAATATCGTCCAAGTGTCACCAGCACTTCTGTGTTTCAGGATACATGATTTCAATGATTACGTGTGACTTTACAGCATGGCAGGAGTCTCAGTTAACCTAAATAAATCGTGTGTGTGTGTGTGTGTGTGTGTGTGTGTGTGTGTGTGTGTGTGTGTGTGTGTGCGTGCGTGCGTGCGTGCGTGCGTGCGTGCGTGCGTGTGTGCGCGTGTGCGCGTGTGCGCGTGTGCGTGTGTGCGCGTGTGCGCGTGTGCGCGTGTGCGCGTGTGCGTGTGTGCGCGTGTGTGCGTGTGCGTGTGCGTGTGCGTGTGCGTGTGTGTGTGTGTGTGTGTGTGTGTGTGTGTGTGTGTGTGTCCAGAATAGGACATCACACGCAATGGCGGATTCACCTGGAAAACTGAATGGCGTCATAGAAGTCTCTACACCGCGTGGAAAGCGTTGCGATACATCGGACCACCTGTCTCCGATGTAGGGCACATCTTTGTAGCTTTGCGTGCTGTGTCGACTACAAACAGTGACGTGGTCGCTGCCGAAACTGAATAAATTATATCACAGACGGCGTGGCACTTCAAAACGCGTGCAATCTGTTAACTCGGGAACATCATGGACGGTGGCAAAGTACGGAGAAACCCGCAGCGGCACGAAGTATGCTCACAGCGGCTCACCACGGGCGCTGGCTAAACAATAAGAAGCGCTGAGCAGCCCGTAGGTTACTAGTGGCACAGGGACCCTGGCACACTACGGACGCTACCTAAGTACTGTGAAGCGCGAAAGGGCACGTAGATTACCAGCACCCTAGCGATAACCGGCACACCACGGTCGCTGGAAGTGACAGGCTTTGCAGTGCGGTACTGCAATTTTACCAAAATGTACACCAAAATAACCCAGAGTCATTTATTGTAACTAGCTTTTTTCGGGAGGTATGATTTTTCTTAATCAATTTTCCATTTAGTTACGGCAAGTTGCCGTTCCTGCCACCGAGAGATGGCGCCACGTCAAGATGTCCTTAATTCCCGGAAATGGTTGAAGCTTAGCTCCCACCCTTTTTGCTTCTTCCTGCTTTTCTTTTTCTCGTGCCTATCTTTTGTAGGTGCGCACTAATGTGCCCTTCATCTTAACCAAATCACCTAAAAGCAAGTCTTTCTCGGCAGAAGTCTAGGGCAGATGTGTTATGAAATATTCCCATAAGATTACTTGATTGCTGCGCTGGATGAAAACTTCGCCTCAGTACTGTTTTTGGTTCCTAGTAACTGCCAAGGAAAGCTAGTGTGTGTGCCCCCCCCCCCCTCCCTGCGTTGATGTGCTTCTGAAGGAGGCTACAGCATATGACGCGTCTCAGTTCGCATGCGCAGATTTGTCTCGTACAGGTTTCCAACTGGAAATGTGTAAGGGTAGAAACACCATTATCGGTTGTACATCGATCCATGGATTCACGATCGTTCCTTGCAGCAAACAACAGAGTACGAAGTACGCAGTATTCACAGAGCAAACATGAGACGCAGTGCACCAACTGTTTCAAATGTTCGAACTTGCTCTTTGCAGCGTGGCGCGAAAGCTGCGCAAAGTTCCGTCAGTAAACGTCCACAGTGTTCAACTTTAATCAGTGCCGGTGATGATGGCGGGCAACGGTTTACACATAATCTGCATACCCCGTGGTTTGGACAACTATAGAAGAGAGTCAGTTCGGGGTGCGTCGTAGGGCACGATCCTTTGAGTACCCGTTCATTCAGCAATGGATGGACAGGTAGGCGCTGTGTCCTCGATTTTCCATCGCGGGTCGTCAGCGAAGTGGCCGTTTTTTAGTAAGAACACCACAGTGTCAGCGACTTCGTGTGCGAAGATACTATGGTCGGACACGTCCATTCATAAGGAGAACCACCATGCCAAAGATCGAGGCCACGTCTTTCGGGTCGGCAGCCGAGCATATATCAACCATTGAACTATCACCATGGTAACACAGTGTTTGGGACTAAGGCAGCAGTATGGAAAACACTAAAACATTCGAAGTGTCTAACACTACCTTCAGTTAAAAAAAAATAAGAAATCAAGTCGCTTATTCGGGGTCGAATCACAATTTTATTTCGAGGCCTTTAATTCGGAGATAAGAAATCTGTTCACCTGCCTTGGACAGTTGCTCTTTTTGTTTTACAGAACTTTGCTTTATTTCATAATACAACGAACATAAAGGACACGATAAAAAAATGAAAACTATTTCCCGCCGGTGCTACGTCAGTGATGGGGTACGTGGTCAATCATCCTAAAGACTGGTTTGGACGGTAAAATCTTTTCCATGGGGCATTATTATTGGTATATGAGACGCACCTACATACATGACCCTTAAGTGAATATGGTTATTGGTCGAATAAAATTTCCGTATTGAATGAGACATTAAAAATAAAATTTCCGGTTTTAGAACAAGACGATGTAGATATCATTCCCGAGATGCATACAAAAAAAAGTTAAATCTTCAGGAACTTGTCAGGTTGATATGGCCATGCCAGGAGAGCTCTTTCTGTGGTACTTATCTCCTGGAATTTGGGAAAAAATGCACAAAATATCAGGCTTGCAAAGTACCACAATAACAACGCTACCTATTTAACCACGATAATAATCTATCTTCGGAAATGTAAACTGTGACACGTGGTGTTTTGTGGCGCTATCATCATTTGTGCTGGCGACATCAAGCCGTCGTGTAATGTTAATGAACTTATGTAATGTAAGGCAGCCGTTACAGTCCTAAAGCTACGCGCAATAAATCAGCGTAAACATCAAAATAATATTGAAGTCACTAAAATGATGCGAATGCATGATATCACAAAATAAGACGAATGCGTACTTTTTTTGTATATATGTACTGTGTACGGAATGAAGAAATGCGCCTAATGATTCAGGCATGACATATTGATAACAATGGCAAGACATGCGTGAGACACTTTCATCAACTTACATAAAGAAGAAATCGAAGACCTAGACAGATACCTTTCCCGTAAACCCCAAGTGTGCCGAATTGATAGGTTTATCTTTTATATGTGCGTTTTTCGGCCTTCTCTTTTTTATACTGTTCATGGTCGGTGTTTGTAGTGTATTGACTTCTTGTTTGTGTTTGTGCGCACGCTCTTTTTTAAATGGTATACCAATAACGTGAAAATTATCGCAATGTATACTTCCACAGAAGAAAGAACATATCAACTCACAAGGAACCTTGCAAACAAGAACCCGGGTTCGAGCGCATCGAAAACGTAGCTTTGTCCTAGCAGCCTTCTCTTGGAAAGCATGTGCTGTCGACCTCATTCGCAAATATCCTGGAATGTGGCAGCGTCACATATACAATGATTGATTGATTGGTTGATTGATTGATTGATTGGTCGATATGTGAGGTTTAACGTCCCAAAACCACCATATGATTATGAGAGACGCCGTAGTGGAGGGCTCCGGAAATTTAGACCACCTGGGGTTCTTTAACGTGCACCCAAATCTGAGCACACGGGCCTCGACATTTCCGCCTCCATCGGAAATGCAGCCGGGATTTGATGCCGCGACCTGCGGGTTAGCAGCCGAGTACCTTAGCCACTAGATCACCGCGGCGGAGCCGTCACATAGACCTGCTTAGCGTATTGTTCATTCATTGCGAAAAATTCATGCACCTTGAAAAAGGGATGGGGAATGTGTTTACTGTATTTATTGGAATGCATTGTTTTTTTTCTTGCTTAGCGGAATCCGCGGCGATGTGTTTTAGCTTGAAGCATACATACCGTACAGGAGGTTACTGTACCAGATCACATATTTTGCTCTCTCTCTCTCTCTCTCTCACACACACACACACACACACACACACACACACACACACACACACACACACACACACACACACGTGCGCGCGAATATTGAGCACAATGGGAGTCTTTTTTGTCTCAAAACAATACTTGTCATCTATCTCGCAGTATAGCCGCATGCCCGGCCCTTTCAGGTCATGAGCGACACGTGCGTTATCATCACGACATTGCTTTTTGATATGAAAGTTGCCAGCGCCGTGTTTGCAAGAGGCGCAAGCAAGCCGGTTGATGGTTATTCCGGGACAAAAGCACCCTTTTTACTCCATTTCAAGTGTACTTTCCAGTATTAGGTCACAGGCATGCAATACGATTAGCAGTGCCAGCAAAATTAACGCGCGCGGCATATCTCTTGCATCGAAAGAACAGGAAAGTGATCAGGTGCGTACTGTTTTGGTGAGGTTAGAGCACCTGTGTACAGCACAACCACAGACCGGCGTGATGGATCTTCAGCGCCTCTTAGAAAAATGGCTACGCGTGCTCTTTAGAATCACATCCTAATAAGTCCCGATTCTTACGGACCGCGTATTCTCGGGAAATTTACTCGAAGAATGTCGATGAATGAAGCCATTTGTTTCATCGAGCGCTTCCATGCTGCCAATTTCACACTCACCGATAGTGTCCACCGACTTGAAAAGTTCCTCGTGCTAGGGACTCGACGGGAAGCGCGCGTAGACGCGAGTCCAGGTGCGTATACCCCGCGGCAGCAATATAATTTCTTCGGTAAAAATACCGAGCACCTCCAACGCATCCAGTTTCACAGACCACCCGCAATGTACTTTCCTATATATCCGGCAATGAGTGACGTCAAGATACCAGTATTGGGGTTTGACGTCCCAAGACGAACATATGGTTGCGAGAGACGCCGTACAGGAGGACTCCGCAAAGTACGACCCCGTATCTTTAATGTTTACCAATAAGTACACGGCCGGGCTTCGAGTATTCTGCCTCCATCGACCGGCGGCCGAGATTCGATCCCGCAACCTTCGGGTCTGCAATTAGGCGCTATATCCACTAGACCAATGCGACGGATAGACCGAAGTAAAGAAGCAAGCTTACCCTTACATGCCCACATCTCGCGTCGTCAGTGTTTAAAAACTTGTAGCTTCGCACCAGAAGGTCTCTTGCTAGTCTTCACTTCCAAAATCGAGGTCGATGGAAACACTTCCGCTATCACTTGCCGGTTCTACGTGGAAAATGCTGGCATAAGCTCGTGCCTCGTCGAGTCCAGTGAAGTAGCCGACGCGCATATCGTCCAACTTGCGCTTGACGATGCCCTCGATGAGGGGCTGGACGCGCGTTACACTTCCCTTGCCGGGAAAACATATCGCCAGGTACGGCAAGTCCTCCCACGCGCTCATGCCGACGACAATCTGTGCTCCCTCCGGCTCGGACTGCTGTACGGCGGTGATTGCACACGCGTGGCGCTCGGCCCCGCTGGACACGGGCACGTACGCCAAGTCCGCTCCCGACAGCGCCAGCGAGGTCGCTATCAGCATTTGCAGCGTGAAGTCCTCGACGGGCGGCATGCTCTTGTCGATGGCCAAGAGCGACCACTTCAGGCTCTGGTTGCGCGGAAAGAGCCAGCAGTAGGCCGCCGCCAGGTGGTAGATTCGCTTGTAGTGCGACTCGCACGATTCCAGGGCGCCGCTGACCTTGTCGCTGACCTCTTCTCTGTCCTGGACGTCTCCGAGGCGCAGGCCCGGTATCACGTCGTCCTCCTCGAGGCTGCGCACTTGGTCCATGGTCAACTGGCATAAGTGAAAACACAGGACGTCGATTTCCTCTTCTGTCATGACTCAACGAGAATGGAGCCCTTTCTTGCAATGTTGCTGGCTACGGGGAGGTGGTCCCTGCGCAGTGCAACAGGACAAGTTTCGAAAGTCCGGTTTAGTGGCGCAAATGCCGATGCGTTCGGTGTCGTCGCTGCAAAATCACAAGCCTCCGCGATCTGTGTGGGCCTTTGACACGGATCTGTAAGGAATTTCGCGAAACAGTATAACCTGTCAATGCAGAAGCGCTCCTGGACATCAGATGGCAAGAGGGGCTAAGATCTGATTTTGTAACGGTGTCTGCCCTCCACAACAACGAATGTGAACTTAAAGGGCGCTATCTGGTGAGCTACATGTTTTTTTCTTTATTTTGACTATGAATTTTTAAACTGTGTGGTTCGAAAGCTAATAAAAATGTTGTGTTGGAGCTTGTTCACGATAATATAGGCCGTAAGAAGCTAGAAAGCAATATCAACCTTTACGTGTGATTTTGAATGATGTGAGATAGGGTATCTAGTGAAACAAAATATAATAATATAGTTGCGGCACATGCGTGCAAGATCCCGTGCGTGCCATTTTCTTCCGCATGCGACAATTTTGCGGCATTAGTGTATACCTGAATAATGCAGGATCAGCCTGCATTCTGAAGCAGTGTTAGAATGACGTATAAGTACAGCTTTATAAAAGACGTTATTCTTTCTTGGTATGCTTGAACCTGACAATTACGGTCTGATAGTCAGTCTGTCTGTCACACGATTCAGCACCTGGCCAAAGTTTAAGCGCTTGCTAAATGCCCAGTCATATTGAAATGGAGGCTGTGTTCGTACTTGTGATCATTGTCGGTCAAGAAGCAAATATTACACATATCTGAGGTGCGAGGTCAATACGTAAGTATTAGAGGGTGTGTATCAGTAAATATATAGATACGTATTGCGAGCAATGGAAACCAAAATGGTAGGTGTAACCTTAAGACACGAGAAGAGAGCAGAGTGGGTTAGGGAACATTTGATTGATTTGTGGGGTTTAACGTCCCAAAACCACCATATGATTATGAGAGACGCCGTAGTGGAGGGCTCCGGAAATTTTGACCACCTGGGGTTCTTTAACGTGCACCCAAATCTGAGCACACGGGCCTACAACATTTCCGCCTCCATCGGCAATGCAGCCGCCGCAGCCGGGATTTGAACCCGCGACCTGCGGGTCAGCAGCCGAGTACCTTAGCCACTAGACCACCGCGGCGGGGCTGGGTTAGGGAACAAACGGGAGTTAAGGATGCCATAGTTGAAATCAAGAAGAGGAAATGGACATGGGCCGGGCATGTAGCGCGTAGACAGGATAACCGCTGGTCGCTAAGAGTAACTAACTGGATTCCCAGAGAAGGCAAGCGGGCTAGGGAGAGACAGAAGGTTAGGTGGGCAGATGAGATTAACAAGTTTGCTGGTATAAATTGGCAGCAGCAAGCACAGGACCGGGTTAACTGGTGGAACATGGGAGAAGCCTTTGTCCTGCAGTGGACGTAGTCAGGCTGATGATGATGATGACGGCGTATTTCTAAAGGCCGTAGTGTTTCTTACGTTTCACTCAAAATGCGACGCCACGCACATAAGAAGGCCAGCAGAAGAATGTTGTCTTTTGACGACATTTGCAGTGAAGCACACTGGTACGCTGTCTTTTTTTAGAACTGAAAAACAAGAAAAACAAGGGAAATGTAGAAGATGTTCGTTGTGAATGCAACTGTCACGAAAAAGTAAAGCAGACAGAAAAGCAGATTGCCGCTGGCCGAAACAGAGCCTGTGATCGTTAAATAACATGTGCGACGCTCCAACAACAGTAACAGAGGCGGTAATCCCTTCCCCGTCCACTTTATGGAGTGTATATGTGTATTTAAACTTCGGAGTGTTAGTCAGCGTCGCTAATAGCCATGGCGGGGAATGTGAAAAACTTTTTTTGATTACCGATAGCAAACCAAAGGACGTGTTTTATAACACCTACACAAATTGCACCATCTACGCCAATGACATCATGATGACAGCACCAATGCACCATCAATGCCGATGACGATGGCGGCCAACGTAGACACATCATCTACATATACGAAAGCTTCACTGACACAAGTCACTCTCAACTTTACCAATTACGCTGTATGTAGTAAACCACAAATTAAACATATAGAGGTACATCATACAATAAGAACTACGCACTATGTGGTTCAAGCATTCACTAGAGACAGCATATCGACATCGCGTTCGACTCTTCACAGCAAAGCTTAAGAATCCCACTCACCCCCCCCCCCCCCTTCTTTTTTAGGAGCGAAGCTCCTTACGCCGCAGGTCATACGTCCCGAGTCGTCATCGTAGTAGCCACCTCTCGTTTAGTCCTTACAATGTCCGTTTGATGGCGCTACTTGTGCATGATGAATGTACGATGAAAAAATGCGAGATGGCGGTACTTGGAGTGTTCTAGATGGACGGACAGACAGACGGACGGACGCGTGGACAGACACACGGATGACCGGACACACGGACGAACGCACGGACGCTTCGCCTCACTCATCATCATTTACTCCGTGGATATCCACGCACGGAAGCACACTACATCTTCGAGTACCGATGGAAATGTTATCACGCAGACTGAAGCGCCTCTCGAAACAATATCAAGCACCACCAGCAGCGCATACATAATGTACGAACAGCAAGTATTTGACCTTGATAAGTGATTCCATGGCTCATTTCATCAGTGACTAAGTCACTTACATGACAACGCGCAAAGTTGTCTCAACTCGTTAAGTTGTCACAGTTTCAATTCGGCATCTGCAGTAGCCCCGCGGACGCAAGCTACTGTTGAAAATTGCTGGCTGCGTTCTGCCGCGGAGCTGCTGTAGACACCCAGCTAGAGCTGTGCACAAATAAAATCACACTTGTCTAGAGCAGCGAAGCACTTGCCCATCGACGCTGTGGTTGGCCGCGGCGTTTGCCTCATGTTATAGTCCAAACGTTTTGTTAATGCCTAAATTGCAGCGCAGGGGCCTATTGCGTGCAGTATGACCATGTTTGGTAGCGCTACGCCGTCGGTCTTCACACGTTACTGCGGGAAACGACAGACAATTGGAGCGGCAATCGAAAGCAATACATTCGGTTTTAACAGGAGCACGCGTTGTCCACGTCCTCAGATCAAATCGTAACTTTTTCGAGCACGGAACATGGTGTGATTACCACTGAGGATGCGCATGTCCACTCGTACTCAAGACACGCGACCGACGAGACCAGTGCAACCAACGGAACACATTCCAAAAGACGCAGAGAGCGCGTGGAGGCGCCGGGCTTCGCCATTTATTTCATTTCGTAGATACAGAAAAAAGAAGCCGAAAAGAAAACTTTGTTATGTTGGCTTAATGCTTTATTCGTTTCGAATCAAGCAAATTTGGTAAGCATTCTTGGAGTCACCGGAGAGAACCCCGTGAGGGGCGACAGGAGAAGTGTACACTGGCAACACTGGTGTACACGCCAGCCGCCGGATAAGGCGTGAACATAAGAAGCTTGCCGAGCAAGCTGCTCAAAAAATAAAACAATGAATGAATGAATGAATGAATGAATGAATGAATGAAACCTTTATTTAAAATTCCTTGTGATGCACCGTTTGCTATAAGAACAAAGAGGGCGCGCTGAAAGAGCATAAAACACCCGTCACTTCAAGGGGAGGAAACCTGCCAGCTCATTGCAGAGTGTGCGGTTGTTTACGTGCTTGTTTTAATTATCCCCAGCTACTAGACCCGTGGGCGAACTAAAAGGTATACTTTGAACTTTTTTTGAGATGAATGAAATTAAAAAGGGTGGTGCCACCATTTTTGTGGCCGGCGCGTTCTTTGCTTTAACTGCTTTTCATAGCTCCGGGAAGCATGATACACGCATCAGGATTCATTTATGCTCGCCAAATAAATTAATAAATTGATGCGAATCGCCTGTGAGGACATTGCGGAAGCTGTGGCTTCCGCATCGCTTGGTTCAAAACGAAGTTTTAAAGCACGACAAGGTCCCGACCCAGTAGCGAAGCAATGCTGCCTGTCCCGGCCAATAAATAACATGCTATCTGCAAGTCTTGTTCGTGAAGGAGAGCCGAACACGCCCCGCAGCTCGCGCAGTTAGTTATCAATGCCTCATTAGCAGCTCTCAAGCGCGTCTTGCATTGGGCAAGTTGTCTGCTGCGCATCTGGCACAACCGAAAAACACCGCCAACGGGAGGGACGCTTCCACCAGTGTCCAAGAGCGCAGACATGTCCGAGCGCAAAGCGTGTACCCTCATTTAAGGCCTGACCACATGCGCACGTTGCGCATCCCGTCAGCGCGCGGCTGTTTGACGCGGCGTCTCGCCCTCTCCCGATGGAGGTATAAGGTGCGTGGCTACGCACGGCCGGACTCGACGCTCCTTCCGCACGCTCCTTACAGCCTTCTCGATACCGGCGCCGCACATATATTTTTTTCTGACGCGTGGAGGGCAGCACCACCTCACTGTAAGCTCCGCCGGCTCCCCGCGTCGCCGACTGCGACTTTTCTTGACTGCGTTCGATGACCTCGGGTAAACAATGCATCAGACACGCTCAGGCACGCTAACTGACTAGCGTAGCCATGGTTTATTGTTGCGTGCCACTGTGTAAGTCACAGCAAGGGAAGACAACGGGTGTGTCGTACCACCAATTTCCTAGCGATGAGGAACTGTGTTCGAAGTGGAGGAAAAATGTTTCACGTGAAAACCTCGTCATCAATGACAAGTCCGCATCGACTGTAGTGTGCAGCAAACACTTCACGGAAAATGACTATGTTCCCGGATATCGTATTCGGAAACTGCATCCAGGAGCCGTTCCCACGGTCTTCGATCAGTATCCTTCGTATATGGTCCCGGCTACGAAGAGGCCGCGTAAAGAACTTGCAGCGCGTGGCCCCTGGGCCACCTCGGCTCCTCGACAGCCGACGAAACGGAAAGCGGAGTCATCGCCGTCTACCTACGGGGAGTGGATACATCGTGAAGCTCGTCAGTGAGTTTGAGTGTGATGCTTGTGTTTCGATGCTGACGACTACGATCAAAGCTGATCCTTTGTATGTTCTGTTGCACAGCCAGGACAAAAGTGCACTCCACTACCCAAACCGTATGTTTTTGACACTGTTGGACAACATCGTTACTTTCTTTGAAAAAGCTGCTAGCAAACTTCCGCGTACAAAAGTGCATGAAGTGCTGCAACTTCTGGTTACCCCACACCTCGAACAATCACCCGTCCTCCTCT